GGAAAGGGTGACTTCCCAGACCCAGGCCCAGGCCCATGGACTCTAGAGGCTGCCAACTCCACAGCACCCACGTTAGACTTGGGTAAACTGAACCGGGTGGAAGGGAGTCATCTAGCCTACCTCAGCCAGTCTACTGGGGTGGGGAAGAGAAAGGGAAAGCTATATGGTAGACATTTCACCAGATTTTTAAAACCTGGGTCACTCCGATGGTGATGGAGGATGGCATATCAGAGTTGCTGAATGAATGGGAACTGTGTCCTTTGGGGGGAGGGATGGAGGGAGAGTGTTTTGTTTTTAGGAACAATCACAGCCTCTGGAAGCAGCTCCTCAAGTTCCCTGCCTTGACCACAGCAGTCTGGCTCCTCTCTCAAAGTTCCCTCTTTTCTGAATGGGGAAATCTGCTCTGGATCAAACTCCCAGCCATAGAGGTGGAAAAGTTATTTCTGGATTCTGGAGCCTTTAAAGTTTTGACAGAATGGCAATGTATCTGGCATTTGGTGCTGCAAGTAAAGTGGATGAAGAGGTTAACAGGGTCTCAACACAGGCCCTGCGGGTGCTGGCTCTTAGGGCCAGAGTCAAGGGAAGGAAACCCTTGGTCCAGGCGGGGTTTTCTAGGGTTCAGATGCCTAGTGACACGTGTTCTGCCCTTCAGGTGCCAGCGCCAGAACAGTTAGTTAAAGCTCAGGCCTCAGAAGGATTCCCTCCACAAGATCATATGCTCTTGCTCTTAGCCCTGACAAAAATATAGGAATGACTGAAAAATCAAAGCGGGGGCGGGGCCGCTTGAATCCTATTCTAATGGAGACTTTTTTTGGGGGGAGGTGGAGGGGAAGAAAAGTCGAGCTGGCGAGGGTAAGCTGAATCAAATTCCTGCTCTGTAATTTTTCTCCCAAGTAATGACCTGCGCAAAATTCAATATGACCGAGCGAACTGCGTGAGCATATTATAGTAACTGCCTGCTCGTGGGGGAGGCCGGGAGAGGGGTGAACCGCAGGTCACGGCGTCTAAAAATTATTAAAATGTTCGAGAGCCTCGTGACACGCCTAGCTGTTTAACAAAGACTGCCAAAGTATGAGATTAATACGAAAACTTGCTCTTCAAAAACAAAATCACACCAAAAAAAAAAAAAAAAAAAAAAAAAGTCGTTTTCCGGCTTCTGAGGGGGCCTGTGGTTCCTTTGCCCGCAGCCGTGGTTCGGTTTTCCGGACACACAATAGTGGACAGGAGAAAGCTCAGTTGTTGCTCAGTGGGCCCACGGCAGTCGGCGGCCGGCCGGCCGGGAGCAGGCGGGGAGCGGCTGGGTGAGTACTCTTGCCAGCTCTGGCCCTTGCACAGTTCAGTGCTCTTGGGGTGCCCCGGGCCCGCTGAGGAACAGCCTCAGCTTGGCCCTCTGCTCGGGTTTCTCTTCCTCTCTGCTTCTCTTCCAATAAAAGGTAGATGCTTTTTCTGGGCCGGGCGCGCCAGCGATGGCGGTGGTGGGGTGGGGTGGACAGCGAGAGGTCACACTAGTAACCTGTGGCTGCCAGGAGAAGGCGGCCAAGAGGTCTTTAAAGAACCTGGGAGCACTAGAGAGGAGCACTGAAGGTACACAAACCCCTGGCTCTTGCGTGGCTTTTTTTTTTTTTTTTTTTTTTTGTTATGCTTATTGTTGTTGGTATTCTGGGAGTAAAGAAGTGAAGCTGTCTCTAACTGCGGTGAAACCTGTCCTGGGGTGACTGATAAATCCTATATCCTATCTTTGCCCCTGGCTTCTACACGGGAAGTGTGAGTGGGGGTTGGTGGGATGGCAGGTGGCGGCTATCCAGTTCTCAGAAGTGAAAGTCTCAGTGATGCCCTAGGTTCAGCCATACCCAGCTTTGCCATCTCTGTACCCCTATTTATCTCTCGGTGATCAGGACACTAGGGCCACATTCCTTGTTGAGTGTAGAATAGGAAAGAGGCCCTCCCAGATGCTCTCCCAATCCTCAGATGGGCTTAGACCCCCATTTGCAAGAGCTGGAGGTATGGGGTAGCAGAGGGGCCTGGGCAGTTGGAGTGGGTCGTGGAACCCCTAAATGCTTGGTTCTTGCTTGATTCTAGAGAGCTGGTGGAGGTCAAAACAACACACTTTTTCTATGGATGACCAAACCGAACCCTTTCTTTGATGAAGATGAAAACTACGATGTATTTTTTTCTCTCCGGTTATAATTGAGTCTGGCCTAGCTAGGCGGGCTTTGGGGTTAGAAGCCAAACTCAGAGGCCAATATTGCAATGTATTGCAATGCCTAGATGCAGGAGGAAAACAAAACAAAACAAAACAACAACATCCAGAAACATCTCTGGACCCATTTGCCTGCAGGTGGGATCTCTCCTATCCAGCAATGAATGGTTCCTGATCTGTGCATGGGTGAGGTGGTTAGATAGTTGTTTTAGCTTGTGTATGTTTGTGAAATTGATAGTGTTCCAACTTATTCAGCAAGGACAAAAGTATTTCTTAAACCCAGGGGGCTGGGTGATGAGGAGGAGGCTTCTGCCGGGCATACTGGCCCTCACCTGGTTACAGCTCTCAGGGTTCAAGCTTTAGTTCTTTCTAGCTTAGTCTCTCATTTCTTCCAGTTTAGTGAACCAACAGTTACTAGGAGCCTGGGGAAGTTCATTCAGAAACTCCAGAATTACATTTTGGCCCCACTGCCAACAACCCAAGCAGGTGGATGGGCCCATTTAGTGTGTCTCCAGACAGAGGATTTCTGCCTGGGGCTAAGAGGTGGGTAGTGGAGTGCTCCCCCCCCATGGGATTGTCCCCCTCATTCCAGTCCCCAGGAGGTATGAGGGTTAGGGAGGTTGGGAGGAGCCTGTGCATCATCTGGCTGGAACTTTTATGGTTCCTCATTGCCCTTCATTCGGAAATGAAGCGCCTTTGATCTTTTTCTCAGGTTGTAAACGGAATTGCCCATCATTAAATATCCGGGAGCCCCCATCTGCTTGGTCTCCCAGCATTTTTCTTCACAGCTGTTTCTCTCTCTTTTGACCATTCAATTTTTCCAAAAGGACTTTTATTATACCCCCTTCACACCCAGCCGCCTCTCCTCCCTTTGCTTTGGAAAATATCTAGATATGCGTTTGATCACAAACTAAAGACTGTAGGGGTAAGGGAGGAGCCAATTTGGGGTTTTGTTTTTTTCTTAAAAAAAAAAAAAGTCTTAGGGGGAGGGGAGGGACTGAGGGCACCCAGAAAGGCCTGAGTCTGACTTCGAGGCAGCCTCAGGATGACCCTTCCTCCTTTTGTACTTAGCTAATGTTTACATCTCATAATTCATGCGCCACCGAAAGTCGCGCGGCAGCCACGAGGTTTGAGTCCCTTTGCCCAACGGCTGCTTTTATTTTTATTTTTATTTTTTTGACAGGAGAGTTGAAAACCTTGTAATCCTAAGAATGGACCCACAGTGACTTTTTCTGCTCCCAGAGCTCAAAATTAAAACAAAACGAAATAAAATGAATGCATTCAAACTACACCCCAAAAGAAGAACGCACCGAAAGTCAGAGAACTGGAAATTTCCTGGGCCAAGAAGACTTGTCTGTCTTCTGTATATACCCTGTAGATCCGAATTTGTGTAAGGAATTTTGTGGTCACAAATTCGTATCTAGGGGAATATGTAGTTGACATAAACACTCCGCTCTTTTTTTTTTTTCCCAGAAGAAAAATAGATTACTTTCTAAATGAGGACAATCCAGTGACTGGCTTCAAGAAGACTTCTTCCTTTTCTTTCTTTCTTTCTTCCTTTCTTTTTTCCCCTCCCTCAACTGGTTGGGGAGAAATCCCATTTATGTGAGGTGTCCCCTATGCCTGCCCTTGGAAACTTGGGCCCTGGTTCACTTAAGAGTTTAATATTGCTGGTGTATTAAAATTCATCATTAAGTCAAAACCTACTTACTTTCTCTTATGGGTCTGAGGGGCTTTATTGGAAATTATGGGGGGCAAGGGGGAAGATTACTGTTGCCTGCAGTGTGCAAAGTCAAAGGAAATTTGCTTTTCAAACGGATGCGGAGGTCGCTGTTTCATTGGATTCAGAATGAGACGCCTTGAAAACATGAGGTTGCCATGGGTGTTCGTGTGTGTGTGTGTGTGTGTGTGTGTGTGTGTGTGGTGGGGGTGTCAGGGCGAGGGCTCCTTTTCTTAGGTCATAAGAATGTGAAATTTCTCTCTGCCACATAGGCAGAGGCGGCAGCTTGAGCAGCAATTAGAAGTCTTGGCGCCACGGTTAGCATTGCTTGGATGAATCTGAAATCAGCAAATTACTACTCAATTTGTTTTCGAAACTTGCAGGTTTTGTTTTATTCCAGCTTCTATCTTTAGTGCCTGAAGTCAAGACGTTTCTCCGAGCTTGGGCCTTGTGGGTCAAAGGGAGGGAGTGGTTAAGAGAAGAGGACAGACTGACGGACACAGCGATCCTAATAGTGCAGCTAAATGTGATTTGGAAGGCGAAGTCTCCCCGAATTTGTGCGTGAATTTCCTATCGATCCGCCCGAGGTTCCATTCATCTCTGACAAGTCCCTCTGCGCACCCGCCCTCTAGCTCCCGACGCCTCCTCACTCACCTCCTACCCCTCCCCATCTGGCTGTAGTGAGAAGCCCCGAGCTCAGAGCCCCTCTAACCTAGTGGGTGACCCCTTCAAGAAGAACCCCTGGCCCGCCAGACACTTAACTTCCCACACAGGCACCCGGTGCGTGAGCTCCCACTCACCCTGGGGAGGAGATGGGGCCCTATGGAAGAAAAAGAACGATTGGCGGAGGCGAGGTAGGGCGGGGCGGGGACTACACCCAGAGCCCCAACTTCTGAAGGGGTGCAGGGATTGTGTTCTGCCCAGCCCCCCCCACCCCGAAACGGGCCCTGCGGTCTTAACCTGTTCACTCCTTCCTAGCTCTGTCTTTCTGCAGCGGAGAAAGCCAGGCAAGGAGGGGGTCGCCCGGCAGGAGCCCTATGTAAATCCTGGTGTTGGGTGGGTGGGGAGGGGGAGAGAAGGGGAAATAAACCTCTTTGGCTGGAGTAAGGTCCGGGTGAGCAGATTTCCTTATCCGGGAATCGCAGGCCGGGTGGCCATTGGCTCGGAGGATCACGTGGGTCCCCAACTTTGTTCACTTGACAGTAAGTAGGAGGGCTTTCGGAAACAGGAAAACGAGTCAGGGGTCGGAATAAATTTTAGTATATTTTGTGGGCAATTCCCAGAAATTAATGGCTATGAGTTCCTTTTTGATCAACTCAAACTATGTCGACCCCAAGTTCCCTCCGTGCGAGGAGTATTCACAGAGCGATTACCTACCCAGCGACCACTCGCCAGGGTACTACGCCGGCGGCCAGAGGCGAGAGAGCGGCTTCCAGCCCGAGGCGGCCTTCGGGCGCCGTGCGCCGTGCACCGTGCAGCGCTATGCGGCCTGCCGAGACCCCGGGCCCCCGCCACCTCCGCCACCCCCGCCGCCCCCGCCACCGCCCGGGCTGTCCCCTCGGGCTCCCGTGCAGTCACCAACCGGGGCCCTCCTCCCGGAGCCTGGGCAGCGCTGCGAGGCGGTCAGCAGCAGTCCCCCGCCGCCTCCCTGCGCCCAGAACCCCCTGCATCCCAGCCCGTCCCACTCCGCGTGCAAAGAGCCCGTCGTCTACCCCTGGATGCGCAAAGTTCACGTGAGCACGGGTGAGTGCGTGGGCACCCCTTTCCCTCCCACCCCCGGCGCTTTTCAGCGAAGGGACCTCCGAGGCATGTGGGGGAGGGAACTGGGGGAAGCCAATTGTCCCCGCTATAAACTCGCCATTGCCAGAGATTTACGGTCTCCTGTTTTCAGAGCCACATAATTACATCGCCCATAAATTTTTATGGCCTGGTGGGCCCTGCGCCTTTGAAGTCATCCTCTACTCCATTCTCCCAGAGACTTTTTCGCCAGGGAAATGCAGTCCCACTGAAGTTGGAAGTTGGGGAGGGGTGCGAGAGGAGGGGAGGGGAAAGGAGGGGGAGGTAGTAATCCGTATTTAAGCAGAGGGTTGAATCAACTTCCAGTATTTCTTTTTTCCCTGTCTTCCAGCCTGGTTCCTTCGCTGGAGAAGTGGGCAAAAGTTTTTACTGGGAAGAAGGCGCTGTTTGGAATCTGAGCAGTGAGGGTGGGGACTAAAATCAGGAAAGGTCTAGGGCAACACCCCTCCCTCTTCCTCCCTTCATTCTCCCACCCGGGGTCCTCAGGCCAAAGAGTGAGAGGAAATCTTTCCAAGATTCCTCACAGTGTCCCCTCCCCAAGGCAACAAGGGCGACAGCTAGCCTTTCAAAAGTTTGAGGTTTTTCTTTTTCGTGTGTCCCTACGCCTGTCTTCCCTTTTCGACCCCCTCCCTCCAAGATGAGGTGGTGGGGCCAGGAGGCGTGAAGTTAGCTGGAAAAAAGAAAGGGCTTTCCCTCCTCCCTTTCGGGGGCAATAAAACTTTCTCTTTCTCCCTCTCTGTGTGTGTCCAGTAAACCCCAATTACTCCGGCGGGGAGCCCAAGCGCTCTCGGACCGCCTACACTCGCCAGCAAGTCCTCGAACTGGAGAAGGAGTTTCACTACAACCGCTACCTGACGCGGCGCCGGAGGGTGGAGATCGCCCACGCGCTCTGCCTGTCCGAGCGTCAGATCAAGATCTGGTTCCAGAATCGACGCATGAAGTGGAAAAAAGACCACAAGTTGCCCAATACCAAGATCCGCTCTGGTGGCACCGCGGGCTCAGCCGGAGGGACCCCTGGCCGGCCTAATGGAGGCCCCCCCGCACTCTAGTGCTCCCCCAAGCAGGAGCTCGAACCTGGGGGGCGGGGGTGGGCCAGGAGCACCGAAGGGGAATATGGGGTATGGGAGGGGCCCCAGGCTCGAGCCCACAAAAACCTATCTACCCTACCCCCACTTTATCTATAAGGAATAAACGCAGAGAAGGGGGGGTAGGGAAGCCTTATTTATAGAAACGACAATAGGGAGCCGGGTGAAGCCCTCCGGAAGCAAGTCTTGCTTTCTTCCTTAAAAAAAGAAAAAAGAAAAAAAAAAAAGAAAAGAAAGAAAGAAGAAAAGAAGAGAAAAGAAGAAGGAAGAAAAGAAAAGACGGAAAGAGAAATGGACGAGGCGCCTGGTTTTCAGCTTTGGTGAAGATGGATCCATGGTTCATCTTTAATCATGCCAGGCCCGGGCCCATCTGTCTTGTTTACTCTGCCGAGGAGAGGACGAGCCTCGGTGGCGACCATTACCTCGACACTCGCTAACAAATGAGGCCGGCTCGGCCGCTGCTGCCGCCGCTGCTGGACCGCAGCCTGGATTTTCTTTCTTTGTCCCTTATTCCTGACACCCAGCGAATGCACCCTCTGACTGCCAGATAGCACAGTGTTTTGGCCACGGTAACAAACACACACACAACTTCCTTCCCTGTCGGTGCCCACCTTTGGGGGGGGAATGACTGCTCACCCCCTTCCACCATAGGCTTAGGAGGAGGGACAGAAGAGAAGCAAATGGCGGTTTAAGAACGTGTTCCCAAATCTGAACCCAATAAATATAAAAACAAGAAATTTAGACACCCAGGAGGGCCTTCTGCTAGAAGGTCCAGCCAGACCTGGCTGGGTGGGCGGCAGGCGAGTTCTGGGATCTGGGAATGTCTTCTGGCCAATCCACAGTTCTACAGCAGAGGCCTTCTCTTAGACTACATATGAATGTGAAATTAGGAAATAAGATGCTGTGGCCCTCCTACTTTGGAAGGACAATGTTGCAAACCTTCTCCCGTTGTTATCACTGTTGCATCGTTTATTATTATTATTAATATTATTATTATTATTATTTTATGTCATGTGTGTCCTCTCTCCTGTTATCTTTCTGACATTCCAAACCAGGTCCCTTCCTACCTCTGGGGCTGCCTGAGCCTAGAGCCTTTCATTGGTGTGAAAATTTGTGTCCTGTACAGCGTGACAACAGAAATAAATGTTTGGTTTCTTGTGACCATCACATCGTGTTTTTGTTGGAGTGTTGACGTTGATATGAGCAAGTGCCACCCAGTGTATAATGCTAAGCACCCTAGTGGGTTTGGCCTTACAGTGAAGTGGGTTTTTTTGTTTTGTTTTAAAGGCTCCAATGGGAATTTCTACCTTAGAGGCTTCCAAATTGTGGTAGCTGGTTTGTTTTCCCTTTGGAGTGGATGTATTTTGTTTGAGGCTAAAAAAATTTCCCCTCCAGTCCAAAAATGGATCTCAAGGACTGGGAGGGCTGATTCCAGGCCCCAATGGGGGTGTGTGTTTCATTGTAAGACATCAGAGGCTTAAGGAGAGCTAAGTCTTTCATACTGTGATTTATTTGTCATAAGCAAATAAAATGCAGTTAAGCTGTCTCCTTCTAGACAGACGGCTCTCTGGTTATTAAAGTTCGAGAGAGGACTCCACGAGGCTGGCCTTTTTCCTCCCCATAAGAAGGTATCGCTCTCCTCTGAGGTGTTTGAGGCTTTAATGAGTCTAATTTTTTGCACAGATGTTTCTGGGTGTTTTCAGGTTTTCAGAGTATTTTTATATTACAAAGGAACTAGCCCGGTGCCATAGCTCAAACTCTGACAAGCAAATAGATAATCAAGAAGACAAATGGCCTCTTTTGTGAAGCCCTGCTCCTGTATTAATTTTCATTTTCTTTCTCATAGAAAGTATCGAAAGTAAGGCTGGGGACCAAATAGCTGTCTGTGTCTGAGATCCCAATTACCCTAGAATGGAGTGGGGGAAGGGATCCAGGTGATCCTTCCAAATCTCTGCCAGGATTGGGTCACTTTTGTCCAGTATAGGCAAGACATTCTAAGGTTTGGAGCCCTAGACTTGGGTCCAAGGTCTGGTGATGACTTAGGGTGCAGCCACATTCTTCTCCAAGAATCTCCAAGCTCCACAGAGCATACGCAATTAAAAGTCGTTTTGTTTTTGTTTTTGGCTTTTTTTTTTTTGTCCCATTTCTTCCCAGAAAATAAAGAGCCAATACCATCCACATGTTTGATTGTTGTTTATTTTGCATTTCTTTGGTTAGCCTGTAAGGATAGCAGGAGTCTGAGGAAAGCCAGACAATTCATTGGGCCAATATCCCCAGGGCAGTAGAATTGCCCCTTAAAATGCAACCCAGAGATTAGTTAAAAAGAAAAGAAAAGAAATTATGAAAGGAAGGAAGATGGGGAGGAAGGAAGAAAGAGAGGAAGGAGGAAGAGTTGCCTGTAAACCTGGAGGAGGATGAGTGGGTTAGCTTTGTCTCGGGTGTGGTGTAATGTTTTAGTTTCAAGGAGATAAGACAGCCCTTAGTTGAGGGGAAAAAATAGTTCTCAAAAACCATAAGGTCTCCCCCCAGGAATGTCTGTAAAGAATCAAATCAAAGCTGCTCCTTAGAAGGTATGAATAGAATCTTAAAAGAAAAGAAAAAGAAGAAGAAGACGACGAAGATTTCTATGGAGCTTAAAGTTCACAGCCATTCTGTGTAGACAAGAGCTAAGAAAAATGTGAGAATTATACAGAAAACCATTAATCACTTCTTTTCTTTAAATACGTACCCTCTCTCCTTTGTTATTATTCAACAGCAAATCTCCGTAGACCGTCTGTTGGGGGAAAAAAGTGTTAGCCGCCTCTCCCGGATCTGCAAGGGGGAAAATTTTTGGAACCATAAAGTTGAAAACTTTTTTCTCTCAGTTTGGAAGAAGCCTTTCGTCATGAATGGGACCAGCAGAACTCAGGCGCTCAGGCGAGAGTGGGCAAGAGGCACGGAAGGTAACAAAGCCCTGGCTTGGGGTAACTTTTGTCTTTTTGTTTTTTAATCATTTTATTGGCCCCTTTCACAAGTAAAAGGAAAAAAATATTTCACCTTCTCCGTTTTCTTTTTCAACTGCCTTTGTGGAGTTTTTATGGTGGATGCTTGGGCAGGTTTGGATGTATTTTATGATGACTGATGTTTGGGAGAGAGTGGAAGAGACAGAGACAGAGAAGGAGAGAGGCCTGGACACCTGGAGAGTGTTTGAACTGATTGGGACAGAGGTGTCAGGGCCCCTGAAAAACACCAGAGAAGAAGGTTGTTTGTGAGGTTCTTCTGTGCTCTGCTTCTTGAAATGTAGGCTGGCATGAGGGGGGCTGCATGTGCTTGTTCGAGCCTGTGTCTAGCAAGGTGCACACTCAGTGTATTTCTGGGACTCTGCCTGCACTGTTTGCCAGGGAGATATTGTCACTGTAGCCTCCTGGAAAAATGAAATCCAGGTCTTAAATGGAGCCTAGGAGCTGGGAGATGTAGATTTGGTTGGGTTTTCTTCTAGTGTTTAGCTTGGGTTTCTAGACAAATTTTTTACCCTCTGAAAAGGAGAAACTGCTCAGGTCCAGGTGAACTGACACAGAAATCCACTTTTGTACTGTCCCTTAGCACGCCACCTCACACTCTAGGCTTCCTGGAGGCTCTGTGTTCTGTCTCCCTTCTTCTTCTTTTTTTTTTTTTTTTTGTCCCTGGGCTTGGAGGCTCTGCTCTTTCTGCCCAGCCTTACTCCTCAGGCTGAGGAATCAGTAGCTCCTCACCAGACCTGATTGTGCTGGCCCCTTTTCCCTGAGGCCTCACTTGGAGTTTGGAGGCGGGAGGCTAGCAGCATAGAGAGTTCATGGAGAGGCCACGTTTTCTAGGCGATTAGCTTGGTATTAGAACCACAAAATGACCTCGGAAGCCCCTTGACCTCTCTGAGACTGGACATTGCGCTAACTCTTGCTTCCTGTCCCAGAGGAAGAGTCACATCTCTTCAGGGAGGGGTTCCAGCTTCTCCAACCCCCCAACTGTGCCTGAATCCTTTGCTATCTCAGAATTTCTGGATCATTTCTCTATTATTATAGAATAGGAAGAAAGGTGCCCCCCCTTGCGGTTTTTTTTTTTGTTTGTTTGTTTTGTAAGTTAGTCCAGAAGTTGTGTGTGTGTGTATGGGGGGGGGGGTAGGGTGCTGGTCTGTCTGTACATAGTCCCTTCCCTAGATTGGGTTTTAGCCTCTTCCCCTACCCCAAGTCCATTTGCACCTGTTTTTTTTTTTTTTTTTTTTTTTTTTTTTAGCTTTGCCTAAAGCAAGCTGAAGAAAGAGGGACTAAAGGATACAATATGAGAGGTTAGGCAGACACTGTCCATGGGGCTGTAGACCATCAGAAATAGGCTCCTGAGCTGGAGAGACATGAACATTCCTTTGAATGTTTTCTCTCTCTCTCTCTTACACACACACACACACACACACACACACACACACACACTCCTATAGAGTCTGTCAATCCTTTTTCCAAAGTTCCTTTGTTGAAGAAGCTATTCCCTTGGATGATGTATCAGCAAAGAGAAGAGCAAGGGAGATCAGGGAGGACCATTGCATGCAGCTCTGAAGGCTTCCAGGGCCCACTTTGCTGGCCTAACCAAAGTGTGCAGAAACTTTTCAAGTTAAGAGCCAGATGGAAGATGTGCTAAGAAAGGAAGCTCAATCATAGATCCCCTCCAATAATCAATGTTCTATCTTCCACAGTCAACACCCATGTCAGCAGCACCCATCAAAGGGGAGGGAAGAGAGGAAGGGTGGAGAGGCGGGAGGGAGAGACTTTTCTAGCTGGGAAGAGGGACCACTCTCCTTAAATTAAGAAAGGTACAGACTGGGCTTTGCTGGAGAGTGTGTGAGGTGTTGCTGGCTCGCATTGTATAAATGTTTTCCTGTAATGTGGGGACTCAGACACTGGGGCGCTTGGCTTTTTCTTTGTTCCTGGGTAGCATAAATGGAGGAACTGGGATGGAAAGGGGTGGGCAGAGAGGCAGATGAGCCACTTTGATACTGAAAATATTTGGGGTTTGTTAATGACCGACCATCGCGCTTACTGCCAGTAAAGATATAAAACTGATAGCTGATTGTGGGCCCTCTCTAGGCACATGTGACAAAGGCCTAGTTATATAGGACTTCTCTAAACTGCTCTTTGAGAAGTGAGAATTAGGGGTACCCCCAAAAAGAAGAGCAACAATAGAGGGGAAAGCCTGGGGTTCACCAAAGGCTCACCGTGTGAGCCTCTGTGTAAGCTTTCTGTCATTTCCAGTCCTAAACCTTTTTGGAGTTGACAGCTGCTGAGGGCTCACTTTTTAGCGGCCGCCCCTCCGAGAAAGGCCTTCCAATCTTTTGACCTCTTCCCCAGTTCTCTGGGGCCCTTGCACTCCCTGGCCTACTCCTGTGGCCTGCCAGCCAGCCAGGGCAGGAGGCTGCCGGGTCCCACTAGGGCCCTGGAGGCCGCTTCAGAGCCTGGTGGGTCTCCCTGGGAAGCGGAGACTGTGAGCGGGTTTGATTGGAAAACGGAGTTGGGAAGTTTCCCAGCGTGAGTTGAGCGCTGACGGATTTGTGACCGGCCATAAAACCGGCGCGTTCAGATTCGTAAATCAATCTCGCTTTTCGCAGTCTAAACCGTTCGCTTTATCGGCAGCAAGAAAGTGCTCAGCTCGCACTGGCTCCGGAGCTTGTTTATTTGAACGTGGACATTTCCCAGGATCCGAAGGGTGTGCGCACTTTAACAACCTGGCTGGCTTCTCCTTCCTGTCGCAGGGTTCCCCTTTTTCTTTCCTTAAATATTATTCCTCCGTTTTAAGGATTGCTGTCTTAGGTCTTAAAGATTGTCGTTTCCTCATGTTCCAACTTATTTATTTATACATACACACACTCTCCTCCCACTCCCGTTTTTCTTTGAGGGTGCATTTTCCTTTTAATGGATTTGTAGCCAGGGACCTTGTAGACTGTTGCCCTCGCAGGAGCAAGCCTACATCAGCATCAGGCTGAATTCAAAAAGTCTGTGTTTAGTATCTGGACAATCAAAGCCGACTAACCCCCCTACAGAGTCTGGGCTCTGCTGGCGCCCCCTCCCCGTGGGGCTGGGGCAGGATTCCAGTACTTTCCTCAGGGGTCCTGCTGCCTCGAAACCTCCGTGGCACACGTGGGGCGACTGTTTCTTTGGGGTTTTACATGAAGAGGTCCTCAACCTTCCTTGAGTCTCTTTTGGTTCAGACTCTTCTAAACAAACCAGCGGAGGCCCCTCATCCCCATCCCTCGGCTCCCTACCCTATTGCCTTTATTTTTCTCCATTACACGGATGCCCTGTTGGCCTGGTCACAGCTACCCCAGAGCTGAAGTAGATAAGGCTGGGAATGTGCAGAGCGGGACTTCTTAGGAATGCCTTTCTACTTCCCTTGCATCCCCCTCCCCACCCCCTGTCCCAACTGTGTACTCAGATTCACTTGCAACTTGTGAACTTATAGGGTTGTTTGGTTTTGTTTATTCTTGAAGGGGGAAGAGTATATTCGCGCCCTCCCAGGGCATGGATATATCCCATCCAAATGTTTAACACGTTAACAGTGTCATCCTATCTTTTTCTCACTGATTAGTCTCCATTGTCTGTTGATTGGAAGTTCAGGACCCTAAAGCTTGGGACGTACAGGCCATAGGCTGCCAGGCAGGCTTCAGTGCTCCTGTTTTATCCCTCTTGTTTCAGCTCTCCAGTTACTGTCACTGGTATATTCCAAGAACTGGGATGGGGTTGAAATAGGTAGAGTCTGGGTGTCTACTTCTTTTGTATGAAATCCTTGTCTCTGGGTCTTTGTCTCTGGAGCCTATTATCACATAGTTCCTTATGATAGTAACAATGCTAAGGGGGAAAAATCCCCCTCCTGGTTATTCTCTATCTCGAGAGCTCCAGAGTCATCTCCTCACTCTGCTCCTGACCATTCTAAAGTACACCACAAAAGATCAAAAGGTGAATTAAAGCCTCAAGTCCCACTCTTGGTACATAGAAGCAGCAAGGACCTGCATAGTCTTCCTGTTCTATAAGGTTCCCTTATACACTCTTGATGAGTTAGAAGAGAGTGGGTCCTGCTAAAATAGTGGGGGACAGAATGGAGTTGGAAGGAGAATTTCAATTCTAGAGGATACAAATAGGAAGCTGAGAAAAATCAGGGGCTTGGAGAAGGGCTCTATGCCCACCCCACCCCCACCCTGACGCCCCTGCAGACTATTTCTGCACCTCTAGGAACTAGGCAGAGGCAGGAGGAGAAGGAAGAGAGGAGAGGTGAGCTGTGGGTAAGTGTGTGGGGGGGTAGGGAGCTGTGTGTGTAGAGATCTGCTTGTGGGGGAGAGACCTTGCTACTATTCCATTGGTAGGTTGGGGGGGGGGACCTATTTTACAGGAAAATTTCTCCTCCTGAAGGGGAAGGTCATAGTGGTCCTTTGAGCCTGAAATCGAAAGACCCCCTTCCCCCTCCCGGTCACGTGATTCATTAAATAATTAATGCCGAGGTTGCAGAATAGATATGTATTCGTCAGGAAAATCGCAGGCTCGGTCTCCCTGTTTCTGACGTCCAATTCAACTGTCCTTTGAAAAACAAGCCTGTACCCTGAGAAAAAGAGAGAGAGAGAGACAGAGAGAGGGAGAGGGAGAGAGAGAGGGAGAGAAAGAAAGGGAGACATCAGTAAAAACAGCCCCACAGCTGGAGCCACACCGCAGGCTGGGGTACTGTAAGTAGAAGGGATTTCTCACTACCTACCGCGCCTTATATGTCCATGTAAATTTATTGTTTGTTATTAATGTTATTGTCGTAAAATGTGACAAATAGCCATCTTCATTTCCTGCCATTTCTCTTCACAGGATGCTCTGTGTTTATACCCATTGAGGCATTGCATAGAGATTTTAGGAATATTTCTCTCTCTCTCTCTCTCTCTCTCTCTCTCTCTCTCTCTCTCTCTCCT